GATAATGAATTGCTTATGTGTATGATGGTGTAAAATACATGTTTGGTACTCTATTATGATATGTATTGTCTTTGAGTGAACATTTATATGCATGGTGGTTTTTCATGAGAAAATTCATTGAAAATTAAATTGAAAGAATTGGATGATGGGTTGTGAACCCTTTTTTAATTGTATTGGAAGTTTTCTGCTTGTAACAGGTGATTTGAAATTTTTGGGAAGTCCGTATTACAGGAGAAACTCTGTCAAAATTTTTGGAAAAATGTGAATTTCTAAGAAAAACCACTTAGGGACTCATACACTACTCATTTAAAAATGGTGATTTGTGAAATCTGGGGAATCAGAAATTATGGACTCTGAGAATACGATAGGGAGACCCTGAGGGAGGACTTGAGGATAGGAAGGGTAGTGGTTGGAGGCCCCAAAAGACCCAGGCTCGCTACCTGTTGTCGGGGATCCCACTGTACAAACTCTCATGTACCTGACTGTGCTCTTACCGTATATCAATGGTCAGTGAGCTACTGGGTTTATATTTGAGCATGGGTCTCAACAATCCCGTGGGTGGATTTTTCATGCCTAGTAGTGTCAACTCCTGGCTACCCCAATACTGATTTGAGAAATGATTCGGGCTCGCATGCATAAACATTTTAGAAAACATATTAGGATCATGCATCATTAACATTAATCATTTGGAATTTGATTGACTTGTGAATGTTTATGATGTTGATTTTAAAATGATGTATGAACTGTTGCTCACCCTCTTGTCTTTCTGTTTTCTTTATTTCCCTTGTACTTGCGGTACTCGTTGGACCTGATCGGTCATTGTTTGAAGAGAGGGGAGATGACACAGATTCCACACCCGATGAATATGTTACTCATACTCATTAGCTGGGAGTCACAATGATGGCAACATGTATTGGGATAAACATATCTAAACTTTTATAGATAGTCTTTTGTAGTATATAGACCTATATGGTACTGAGTAGTAGTTACTCTTTTATGTAGTTAGCTGCTCTGTAGGAAGTATCCCCAATGTTGCCCTTAATATTTTGGAGGATTGTACTAGTATTTTATTTATATGTAATTATAATTGTTTACCCTTAGTACTTTTTAAAATGATGAAATGCAGGAATGAATTATTGAAAATTTATATATTGATATTATGTACGAGGGAAAGATTATTATCGAAAAAAAAATTCTGCTAAAAAATTATTAATTCTTAAGATTGAGGGTTTATAAGGTAGGGTGTTACAATGCCCACAACAGGCTTACATGACCTCTCAGAATGGGCAATCTACTTCTGATGTTCCTACAAATATTGAAGCGACAATGCATATTATGTCTTTGAGTCCCCTGATCCATCATGGTACATGAACACCGGAGCTACCTCTCACATGACATCTTCCAATGTCCATCTTGTAGGTAATGGAAAAACTCAGTAGGTTGACATTGATTGTGGCGAAACTTTTTGCTCGGTAGTGAAATCGGCTACGATTCACACTGTTCTTTTTATTTCTCTTTCAAAGGCATGATCCATTTATCTGTTGGATGTCAAAAATGTTTTTCTTTATGGTGAGCTACAAGAAACCGTTTATATGCATCAACCATTGGAGTATCGTGACCGTATGATCCAAGGGTGGACCATATGCAAATTCTCAAACGCGTTATCCGGTATTTACAAGGTACACTTGATTTTTGTCTTCTTCTCAATTCATCTTCGACCTTATTTATTTGTTTCTTATATTAATGCTAATCGGGTGGGTGCCCTGATACGAGATGTTCTACCTCGGGTTATTGTGTGTTTTTGGGTGACAACTTGGTATCATGGTTCTCCAAGTATAAATCTACACTCTCTCGGTTTAGTGGAGAGGTCGAGTATATGGATATTGCTAATGTGATTTCTGAATTGTGTTGGCTCCGAAATTTGTTATTGAAATTGCATTGTCTGGTTATCAAGGCTACTCTTGTGTATTGTGACAATATTAGTGTTATCTGTTTGTCGGGCAACCCGGTGCAACATCAACTTACCAAAGATGAATATACATTTTGTACGGAAAAATGTTGTACGTAGTTAGGTTTGAGTTCTTCATGTGTCTTCACGATATCAGATCACGAACATCTCTACTAAGGGACTTTTGCGTGTATTGTTTGATGATTTTATACCGTCTTAGTGTGCGTCATCCTCGTGCTTTGATTGTGGGGTTGATAAAATATATGTAAATATATTTTGTTAATTGTGGGTCGGTAAGATATATGTAAATATATTTTGTTATTATATGTTAGGTAATCATATATTTAGTTTATAATCAATTTTTTAAATATATATAATATTATTAATTACTTAATTAATCTTTTAAGATTGCAACTTCTATACTGAATTTATTTATTGAAGAAAATATTCTTTTATAACGTGCTCAATAATGTGCCTCTTGATGCAATTGTACCACTCACTCATGTCAATCTACATATATCAAGTTTACGCAGAGAAGACAAGTGTGATTTTCTTCCATTAATTAATGAATGCCTTCATTATATTTATAGTACTGTAAAAAAATTGGTCACCATTTTACTTATTAATTAATCGTAAAGAAAAAGTTAATTCCCATTTCAACTATACCTAATGTAATATAAAGTAGGCATACATCATTTGAAAGAAACATTTTACAGAAATTTAATTAAAATTCATATATTTTATAAAAATGAAAAAAAAAATGTATATGATAAGGAACAAAGTAAAAAGTGATCAGAAGTAGTGGTAGATGTTGGTGTGCACAATGCACATGGTGGCTGCGGGGTAAGTGGGAGCATGCGACCCCTTGCAAGAAGATCCTGCACCACCCACACAACTTGATCAAACCCACAACACAACACAATAAAGACACGATTATGGCTGTGATTTTGTTTCAGACTCACGGATCTTTTCCGTCCCCCAAATTGGTACGACACGTTTCGTCCCTTTCGTATTTTCCATCTACGTACTCTCCTCCGTTACATGTCTACGTAGGTTGCTTTATCTATCAACTAGTTCATTCAGTTCATCAAACACGCAGTTTTTTTTTTTTTTTATAACAAAAATGGATTTGATTGGAATAGACCGTACAAGCTGCACCATCACTGACATGTTCTTTTCATTTATTTGTGGATGCGCTATTTCCTTTCTGATTTCATTAAATTAAAATATAATATTTGTCATACGTACTTTAATTCCACCTAACTTTATAATGGAAATTGTAAAATTAAGTTGTGTCGCTTAATATAACTATTTTTTTAATAACAATAAAGCTAAATATTCATTTTTAACCATGTATAATATTATATTTCATTAAAGTATTGTTATTATTATTATTTTTATCTAAAGCTTTATCATGTGAAGCATATAAGAAGAGGTCACATGCAAAATATAAAGAGAAAAAATAAAGTACATTATGTACAAAAACATGGGAGGACCACATTAAATCTATAACAAAATAGAATACCAAAGTCATAACTTTACACAATTAGACATGCATCCTAACAATAATAATAATAATAATAATAATAATAATAATAATAATAATAATAATAATAATAATAATAATAATAATAATAAATCTAAGACTCTATTGCGTCGTCCCAAATCCATGGTCCACCCACCATACTACACATAAGGTTAATTAAAATAAGCGATTAATTTATTTATTTTTTACCAAAATAATTTGAAATATATTTGGTAAAAAAAATGCAAAAGGTACTAAAAATGACAATGACTAAAATAGACATTGTGTTTAGCTGAGTTTATAAGTTACAAGCAATATACAAAGAAAACGTATTTATTGTTAAGATGGTGAACTTTCCCACACAATAAACATATATTTATTCTTTGAATGACCTGAATTCTTAAAATGGTTAGATCTAACCATTATAATCTCGACTTATAGACATGCTTATCTCAGCATACTCTATTGCAATTAATCAAGGATTTATTAGTTATTTAATAGAATAATTTTTCACTTTGGCTTTTGTATTTTAAGCGTCAAAGACTTTATTTTGTAATTAATTTTGCAAAATTCTTACTTTATTGGATTTCAAATTTCATTAACGTTCGTAAATTAAGAACCTAATATAAAGTATTTAATGAAAATTACGCTATTTATATAAAAAACCTAAAAGATTTTATGACGTTGGCAATTAAAGTGATTAACTAACACCAATAGTTTTAAGGGCGTAAATGGATAACCTTGCTCTTATTAATATGATTACACTTTATTTTTACTTTTCTTTCTCACGAAGTAAGATATAAACAGTAGTTTTTATACATTTTAATTTTGTTTTGTTTAAACAATAAAGGGATTGCTGTTATTTGCTTAAATAATAATAATAATAATAATAATAATAATAATAATGATAAATAAATAAGTAAATAAATGTAAAATCAAGACCGGCAATGTTTAAGTACAAAGCATAAGGAAACTAACAAAAGCAGAGAAAAAGAAAAAGAAAAGTTAAATCTTTGAAAATGCGTCTTAACTCTATCGAGACAGTTGTTCGGTGTTATATATCACACACGCATACTTTTACTTTTTGTCTTCATGTTATTTTAATTTTTTTTACTGAAACATTTAATTTGATTTAATTGTGGTTATACTTATACAAGACTAAAGTTTGAATACATATATTCGAAATCAAGATCAACTACGTAGTAAATGATAAAATTCAAAGTGTTTGTCCTTCAACACTTTTGACGAATTTCTTTCGGTATAAATGAGAAAAATAATATAACTCAAATTTATTAAAAATAGCTCCTTGATTCGTTTTTTATTTTTTGTTCAATTTTTAACACAATGTAAATTAATTTTTGCCACTTAATGCAATCATGAGTTGTCACACTTATCGTGGTACGGTATCTCCATGTTTTGTGCTTGTCCAAGAGACAGAGAGACTAACGATAATAACTACCAATTGATTGAGTAACAAAAAGGGGTGAAATTTGAGAAATCATTCATGTTTTCATGAATAGATCGAAATTAAATGGAAATTAAACGAACTGGTTCCCCCCAATTCATCAACAAATCATTGATGTTGTCATGGTCACCTTCCTTGCACCTGGTGTTTGGCCACTCGAACGTTGTATTTTCCACCCTCACTGCACCTTCAACATTCCAACTGTTTCTGCGCTCTTTTCCATGTTCATGAAAGAGCTCCCATTCACACCCATTATTCTCAGCAACAACACGTTCATCTTCTTCTTCTTCTTCTTCTTCGTGTTCGTGTTCGTGTTCATATTCATGTTCATGTTCACGTTCATGTTCTTCTATATCTTCTACCTCGTCTTCTGGGTTATCCTCTTGAATGTGGTCATCACCATGATGATGATATTGCATTTCAGTCCAAAAGCAGAGGCGAAGGCGTCCAGGGCTCCTCTCTGCTTGGAAAGAGGATGGGACCTTGGTGAGCTGAAGCACTAGCCTCCCACCTTCTCTGTGGGGCCTCACTCGTATCGACTCCGATCCTCTTATCGTCGTCAAGGGTGGTGGAAAGCTACGACCTTCACGCGCTTTCCTTTTCTGCCTCTCCCTTATCCCCAAACTCGCTTCACCTACACCGCATTCTGATGAATGAGAAGAGAGCAACTCAATGCCGCTCTCTATCATGTCGCTGCCTGTCTCATTCCCTAGGTTTTCGGTGCAGAGCTCCAGACTCTTGGGGCTGAGTCTCACCGGTGATTGTCTCACCTCAGGTTGCACATAGCTTCCCACACTTGTGCTATCTTTTGCAGCAGTTGAAAGAGATTGAATGGTGGTCCAAGAAGCGTAGGCTTGGTTGTGGAGTGTGGTATCGCAATGGGATTTGAGGTTTGGTTCCCAGAAGCAGGATTTGGAGGGTAAACCAATGGGTTGTTGGGGAGGAGATGACAGCATGAGTCTGTGTATTCTTGACTCCACCAGTTGGGAGTCCATGTATGATTGGCACATAATTGCAGCCATGAGGAAGTGGTGGTTTTGGTTTGGTTTGGTGTTGAGATGTGAATGAATGTTTGGATTAAGGAAGAAGAAAGTTGTGAGATTGAAAAATGGAGAGAAAAGAAGGGAAGGGGCAATGGCATGTGGGAGAAGTGAGGGGAGAGGTGCTCAATTTGTAGTTACAAAAAGTTCATGACTGGGCTGGGCCTGGGGGCTTTGTTATGTCATCTCCACAGCTTCGGATTGGGTACAGGGCCTTTTTGCTCCACTTCCTTTTTATTTCACTACTTACTTTTCTATTTTCCTTTCTTTACTATTCTCTTTCCTTCATTTTTATCATGTCATTGGTCAATTCTTTTGTCTCTCTCTCTAGATATATATACATGTGTCTGTGCAGGCGTGGAATGATTTTTTTTTTCTTTTATTTGGCCACTTGTTAAATGCAACAGTGCTCAAGTCCAGCAGATGGTTGGTTGTGTTTGTTGCTGCTTTATTTCTGACTTAATTTGACTGAATAAATATATTCCCCCAGAATGAATTTCCTTTGCCAGAGTCTGAACTGGAGTGATGTGAGTGTCCTTACGAGGAAATCATGGAATAAAGGGAAGAGAAAAAGGTGGGTTTTTTTACCACCTTTACTAATATTACCATTCGTTTCCAAAAGAAAGGCAACAAAAGGGCAGAGCACTAGGGATTCTCCCAAATATTGCCTGACAGTGATTGGGTGATTCATCATATGAGGTTCTATAAATAGTTGTTTTAAGGCAATGCAAAATCCTCTGATTTCAAATCTTGTAAGAGTCAAAATTTAGGCCATTCAAAAAGTGATTGGAGGGAAGAACCATCAGCCCACAGCCTCTGAAAAAGAAAATAAATTCTTTATCCAAAATGATGAACAGAATATTATGGGCTACAAAATATCAGACACAAAAGGGTCTTTCACAAATTTACCACCATCAATTTATGACACAATACATGCCGTGTTTGGTGCATGTTGGGGGAAGACCTACTGCTACTACATTTTTACTTCCATAAATGATTGGGTTTTGGAAAATCTGGAAGCCACACCAAAACCTGGTCCCGATGCTTTGGTTAATTTCAAATTCTGGTATATCTATTTGTTAAATCTTCAATCAATACAATGAATAGCAAAATCAGTTATGCTATTATCACCACAATCTCCTCAAATAACGTAATATGAGGTTATTGAATAATTTAAACCAGTTTCCTCTTATCTGTCTTCGTTAATAAACTATACAAATATAAATAACTTTATTTTTAAGAGGAACACCCATAATTATGATGATTTCGTTAAAAACTCATAATTTCTATTTTTGATTGTGTATGCATTACACAACATAGTTTCAATTATTGGATGAGAGTAAAAATTAAATGTAAAAACGACCTAACTAGTTTTTATCTACTGAGACTTCTCTAATTCTTAAATTTTTTTTAGCTCATTAATAAAAAACAATAAGTTTATGAGTTTATTTTGAGAAAAGAATTCGATTTTATTTATTTATTTTATATTTAAGTGTTGTGGGAGAAAGTTATCAATGACATCCTATTTTTAACGCTCCACTAGATTTTTTTTTTAATGTAGTTAAAATGCAAACGTGGAGAATTTTCATGATCCAATGGGCTAAAGAGTAGAGTTCCAAAAATTAACGTTTACCAAAATTATCACTTGCTGCTTTTATTTATTATCTCGATTCTTTTCAAAATATCATGATTTCTTAATTATTGAACATATTGAGTTACATAAAAAGTTTGAACATGTATTTAAATATATTGGTAGCCTAAATAAAGTTTTAATGAAGATTGGATGAAATATGTATAGGAAAGTCGGAATCTACTAAAACCTATATTCAAACCCTAGTGAAGCTTGTTATTTTAATAATAATAGACCAAAAATAAATTACAAGGGTTGTGGTTGGATTGGTGTTTACATATTTTCTAAATAAGGCATCCCTTTAAACCCAACCAAAGCAGAAAATTTGTCCCACCCACTTCACCATAACGTACGGATATCTCGCAAACCCATCCCCAAAAGCCATTTGAAAAGGAAAGCACTGATTCTCCACCAACACCACCCCTTTGCCACTGTCGGCTACATTAACCAATCATTCTTACTCATCTTCTGTAAATGGAAAAAATATAAAAATATCAACTTACATAAAAATGAATAAGTATTAGTTATATGTTTTTTTTTACATTGTAATAAACAGTGTGGTGGTGGAGAAATTTCTCACGCCAAGTTTAGAAGTAGTTGCTTGCAAAAGTTCTTACCCTCAAATTAGTGATCGTAAGAGACAATAGAAAGTTAAAATAAAATGAATCCTCTGAATTAAATTTTGTAGTTGCTTTCTCTTTACTACTCCGTTTTTTATTTATATTTGTAGAACTGGGAAGGATTTTACTTATATACGCCACTTATTTGTAATCTTCATGTTTTATATATGTGATTTACTTGTAAGAAATATCAAAAACTATTCCAAATCCTAAGCATATGCTTCTTTATATTGGAAAAGTTAAAGACTTTAGTGTGGTGTGTTTGTCCGTGTGCATCAATTGGTAGCTTTTTGATGAGGGGAAACGCGTTGGGAATCAGCAGTGGAAGATGAATATTATCACACTCGCAAAAATTTGTTGACAGCAATCTGATAAATATCTCGCAAAAATTTATACATAGAACCAAAAAAAGTAAGCGATACCTACCATGGTTTTTATATATCAGAAATAAAAGCTATAAGTATAAGCTAGTGAATCCAACTTCGATGATCTCTGTGATCAATCAGAATTGTTGGCAAACCACAAAAACAGCAAACTTATAAATGGAGAATAATAATAAAAAAAGAACTAGAAAATTGGTACAACAAATCAACAATCTCGTGAAGAACAAGGATATAACAAAATTTTAGCACGACCCAGTTGATCAAAAACAAAGGCTGGTTTATTTATCACATGGGCTTTCATCAATTGATACATACTATAATGTTGATACGAGATATATAATAAAGTTCTAGTTTGAGCTTTTTTCCATGTAAAAAGTAACTGTATTCAACAGCTTTGCACTAAAAACACAGCTAAGTAATAAGTATATAAGGTTCTATACATTGTCCTAAAGATCAAGCAGCTTCTGAGTTGAAATTCTCCATGATATGTTTAAATGGAAAAACTTTTTCCCTAAAGCTTCTTTCTGAAGTTAGTACTAATGTTATGTTATAAACTATATCTGCATGACAGAGAAAGCTTGGAAATAAAGAAAGAACATGGTGATATGGTCTAATTTTGCACATATATTATCTATCTGGGTCTCTGTTTTTCGGTTTAAAGAGCTCAAATCCAGCTAACAAGTGATATTTGTATCAGAAACCATATGAAGAATCTTTATATATATATATATATATATATATATATATATATATATATATATATATATATATATATAAATATAGTAGCATGTTCTTCATTGGTTTTAGTAACGAAGTATACGTCATGTCCCTTTAATTAAGTGAAGCCTAAGATTACTTACGATTTCAAATTGCTTCATAGAAATGTATAATATATAGCAGGAACTTTACTGGGAGGGACAAGAGAATCCAATTCATGGCTTACATAAGCATTAAGCAAGTAAAGGCTATTATAATGTTCCCCCAACCTATCTTTTGGAGCATGTGTAAGTGCGTCACCTTTCTCTTCTAATAATTTTAACTCAACTTTCCTTCTTTTCAACCTAAATAACTCAATAGAACTGCTTTCTTATGGATGACACCATGTCGACTAATCCGCAACCAGTTGCATTAATCAATCAAATTGTTTATTTCAAAATCAGATATATCAGGTTAAAATATTGAGTTATAAGAACATAAATATAAGAAACTTCATTAGAGATTCACAAATTCAATATTTTAATGTTTTAAATTAAACGTGATTTAATATTTTTTTATAAGATTAATTTGTAGTCTCGTTTGTAAAATATATTTTAGTTATTATCTTTTATTGAATTAAAAAAATTTAGTATAATCATTTGCATGTTTATTAAATTAAGAAATATTAAAGTTACCTATGAAAAAACAATTAAGGTGTTGATATCTCACAATAATATCATACATAATATATATATATATATTCTTTTATGAAGAATCTAAGATTGATATCATTATTTTTTCCAGAAGATGAATCAAATATAAAACACATATTTTCTGAACTTCACATATTTAGAAATTAAAACTTGCTCTTTTACCAAACACCTTGTCTACTAGGAATTCTTTTCATATTCTGAAATCATAATTTTTTGTGCACTATGATATTTGCGTAAGGTGGTTGTTTTATTTTTACTAAAATATTCAATTCATTATCATGTTAAATAAGTTAATAAGAATAAAATGATAGTTTTTTGTCTTAAAATTTATATTTTAACTTGAAATTTTCAAACCTGCGCGAGAATTTTTTTTAAAAAATTGGTCAAAAACCATTTCTTGAAAACATTTTTTTTCAAATGTTACTTTTAAAATATTAAACAAAACATGAGAACGTGTTTTTTCCTAGATTCTCGATAAACCACAAGTCCCCCCTATGGTTTCTCTAGTAATCAATTCATCTCACTTTCTTTTTATATATATATCACCATAAAAAATGCTCCTACTCGCACTTGCACAAGTACATATTTATTTATATATGACCATATAAATTGATGTGGTACGAGTGTCTTTATAAGAAAAAGTGAGAGAAATTTGGCCCAAATAAAGAAGGCATCATATATCCACCCGTGAATTAAATTAAAACGAGATGCAGTGGTAATGGAACTTGAAGGAAATGAGAGTTTTGTTATTTTTGAAATCTGCAATAAGAAAATGATGGAGTAACTGGAGTTGAAAGATAAGCAAGACATGGATGCAAAAAGGAAATAGCTTGGTTTCCCTTGAAAATCATTCTACACTTTGTTCACTAACCCACATGTGTGATTGTATGAAAAAGATCAGAGAGTGTCACATCCATTGGATCAGGTTCTTCTCATTGGATTATCCCAACTTACACCCGTTTCAAGTCATTGTAAGAATAATTTACCAAAAAGAGAGCTACAAAATAATATATTTTCTATAGTTAAATTGATTCATTTAAAAATCAGAAAAAAAAAACATACGTTTACAACTTTGACTTGCTGCCACAAAAAACTGTAAATGCATATGAAGAAAATATTAAATATAATGTATATATTGACTAAAATAGATAGTTTTTAAATACAAATACTAAATAAGTCATTAAATGTTTAAAAATTAGATACTTCCAATAACATATTATTATTATGATGTAAAAGAAATGTTTGTTAAGAATTTACCTAATGTTGGAACAATGATGATCGAGGTGTGTCGTAATTTGAACTTATTATAATTATAATTATAGTTAGAATAAAAAAGAAGTATAATTAACATTGAAACAATGACAATGCAGGTGTGTCGTAATTTGTAAGTTGAAGAGTTAATTCGGAAAATTACAAAAAAGAAAAAAAAAAAAAGTGTGACAATTTCAAAGCGAGGTTCTCGCAAACCCAGACCCAATCTCTCTAGCGAAAGAGTAGAGAGAGAAGGAAGACGATGGGTACGATGCTACAAACCATTCTCACTGTGCTTCTTCTCCTTATGCTTCTTCTCATCATCCTCTTCCTCTTCTTTCTCTTCAAACCATGGCGCTTCTTTTTCTCTTCGCGTTTCCTCTCCTCCATCAAGGTAGGTACTCCCTCTTCCTCAATACAATTCTTTCCTTCTTTTTTCTATTTCCAGCATTCGATTTTTCTTACCCTAATCGCCAACTCTGATCTGAATATTTACGATCTCTGAAATTCAATTGATCTTGCGAATCGAAGGTCGAGGCAGAGCGCCCCCTTGTCACCGACGAAGATGATGTATATGCGTCGCCGTTAAATCAGACCAATGAATTGCCTCGAGATTATGATCTCGAGGGTGCCTGTTATCCCAGTGAAGCTCATTTTCGCTCTCCTCGGACCCATGGCCAAGGGCTTGTTCATAAGCAAAGGCTTCAAACCCTTTCCGTTCCACCTTCTATACCCCTGGCTGGTGATACTTTGGTCGTGGATGTGATCTCTGATCCTTCCTCTGAGGATGTTGATGCTGGTCCAATGCTTAAGCTGTCCACAGCTCATTTAGCTCAAATTCAAAATCACGGCTCGCCCAATTTTCAAAATGATAGACTGCATGACTTTGTGACCAGGGATATCTCTGATCAAAGTAATTTCCTGAGTCTTTTTTTATCGTGTTGCCATTAGGTATTTGCATTGTCTTTGTGTTCTAAACATGTCAACATTATGACATATCCTTTTGTTAGAAGTGCAGGAAGTTGTCTCACTCTGGAGGTTATCAATGGCCCTTCTCGGGGACTTCGTTGTTCTGTACAGTCGATCAATTCGTCTCGTCTACCACTAACCATGGGAAGAGTTTCTCCGAGTGATTTGTTGATAAAGGATTCAGAAGTGTCAGGAAAGCATGCAATGATAAAGTGGAATTTGGATGTAAGTTCTGTGTGCTGTTGAACTTGCAATTTGATTTTTAACATGTATGGCGTGTGTTAATTATTGTTATAATTGATCTTTCAGACAATGAAATGGGAGTTGGTGGATATGGGTAGCTTGAATGGAACACTGTTGAATTCCAAGCCAATCAACCATCCAAACACTGAAAGTAGGAATTGGGGAGATCCAAAGAATCTTGCTAGTGGAGACATCATAACACTTGGAACAACATCAAAAGTAATGGTGAGTATTAGGACTGAATCTCAGTTAAAATGGCTGCCACTTTTTTAGGTTTTTGGCTTTTGATTGATATAGATGCGAAGCTTATACCTGTGTGTATGATATTAGCTGTGAAGAGACAATCTGCAGCATATGAGGATTGAGTGATTTTTACTCCGTAAATCATTACTACATAGTTTTCTTCTCTCCTGTATAATCCAAGGCTTTTACTTTGAAATTTATTTGAACACCAACTCCTTTCCTCATATTCATGGAAGTATGGGAGTACAGTTTTATTGATATAATATAAATTGTGTCGGTTTATTTTGAGCTAGTTTTACTAGAAGTTACATATTCAAAATTAGATTTTATCTTGATCGAATGTGTAGTTTTTTTCCTTTCAATGATCAATGTTCTCCCTCGTCTTAGATGAGCAACAAAATGTCTCTATATACCTTTTTCCAAAGTTTTTTGCAATTAAATATTAAGTGATTAAGTTACTTTGTGTCTGTTTTTAAATATACCTAATACTCTAAAATGGTGTACTTTAAGCGAGTACGCCGCCGTTGCATTTGCTATTGTAGATTTCTTTTGTTTTAAAAATTCTATATAATTCTCTGATTATATAACAGGTTCATATAACTTCGCAAACTCAGCATCACATTCCCTTTGGAGTTGGTATGGCATCAGATCCCATGGCTTTGCGTCGAGGAGGAAAAAGATTTGCTATGGAAGATGTTTGCTTTTATCAATGGCCTCTACCTGGGCTGGATCAGGTTTTGGATTTATTCATAGCTCTTCTTAATGAAGGTCTCTCTTCCGTTGTTTTGTTTCTCACTTTCCAGAGGGACCTAACCCACCGCTATTCCGAATTTTCAGTTTGGACTTTTTGGTGTTTGTGATGGTCATGGAGGAGATGGGGCTGCCAAATCTGCTAGCAAGTTAGTATTTTTTGCCTAAAATTGTCCATGCTTGTTGTTTTCCATTTTTATAAACTTTATGTTAATGCTTGCCTATTCCGTGCTTCCTTACCTTTTTTTTTTAATGTGGATAGTGAACTTGATGAATAGAAATAATTTATATTGTTCAATCTTTTCATGCTGTGGTTATTTATGGTCGTCAAGGTAGATCTTTTTAGTCCAGTAATGTGCATGTTAGTGCTATCTCTGAGCATCTTCTACTGATTATTCTATAATATGTGATATGTCCTGTTTGTTTCAGCTTTCTCCTTCATCCTTTAGTAGTAAATACATGTATGATATAGGCTTTTGTTGTTTTAGTGACTTTTCGTACTGTAATTGATCAAACCATAAAAATATCATTATTTAATCTTGAGTATCTTGGATGATCTCATAGGCATAGTTATCAATCTTGGAACCAACTCTGAAAATGCTATATTGGAAAGCAGGATGACTGCTATCTCAAATATTATAGTACTAACGAAATAATTTATACTACACATTTAAATCAAAGAAAAACCCAAACTGACACAATTAAAGAAATTCATGATAAATATTGCGACAATTTACACACACAATCCCCGTCATTACAACATAGTAATGCAGTAAAAAAATGAATGAATATGGTGCCATCAATAGAAAAAGAGAAAAACAAATTTGGTAAAAATTAGCAGAATTTGAACTGGGCAGTCAGTCTAAAAGAAGAAGAAAGAATGGAACATGGCTTAAATAAAATAGTCCTGTTAAGGCTGTCAAATTCTATTACATTTCTTAGCAAAAATGCATTAGAAAATGAGGGAGAAATCATAATGTTACCCAAAGAAACCCTAATCAACTTTTCACATGTCAAAACTGGGGTTTTGAATCCTATATTATGATTTTGTCTGCAATGACGGTTTAGGAAACCGTTCTGCTATTTGAATCTAGTAGCCTAAGGTTGCTACTCTGCCATATTGCAGTATTGACGACCATGCACTTAGGAGTGAATTCCATATTTCATTACATTTTTTGGTTTGTTCCCTTATTTAATTTGATTACAGATTAGGAGTCTAGTAACGATATATATGGGGGTTAGTATTTTGTTTCATGTCATATATGCGAAAACAAAATATCATTCTCTCCTTCCCTACCCAAATCCATTTAGGGTTATGTTTGGTAGAGTTTCTCCATATGGACTACTAGGAGAAAAAAATGAATTTGAGTTCTCCATAAACTAAAATTAGGTCATGCACAAGTAGAAAAAAATAAAAAAATGGAGAAGCTAATTTCAGCTTTATGGAGGAATTCATTTTCTCTTAATCTTCTCTCCTATAAGTCTTTACAGAGAAGTTCGTTTAAACAGGTCCACAATTTTATGGTATCAAATTGGTACTATCCTTTGTAATGATGTCATTTCCATTGGTCTTTTTTTTTTTTCCTGTGGGGCGTGGACAGATTCTGGACTCTGAAAATGGACACTGAAACACTTGATAATGCCTATTTCTTTTTCCTCTTTCTCTTCCTTCCGTGATAATGTCTGGTAAATTTACCCTAGCCTGTAAATCTATTTTCTTCTTCGCGCTGTAATCAGCTTGACCTGTTTACAGCTATCGTGTCTTGAGTTGTGCTGCGGCAGGAGCTTCAGCATCCCACTGCGTGCTACTTACCATTATATGATCATTTTAAGTGCTTGGGATTCTCTTTCCTGTCACCATCTTCTTCATGCACGTTGTTATGGCCAGTCTGGTATTAACCAACATCTACCATCTTAGTTCCTGCCCCTAGAAATGGTTTTTAATGCTATGTTTTGGGTTTGACCAGCTCTTGTCCAATCCACTCTGTTGCTTTGTTTTATGATCTGTTCCAGAACCAGTTTACGGAAAGGAGACGAATGCAGCTACGGGACTCTCATTTGGATGAATGCAGTAAAGGCTCCAGGAATCTTGAGCAGGATTGACTGGAATTATACCGGAATTATTGCTTGGACTTCAATTGTTAATACCATTTGACAGATAAGAGAAACGAATATTGAGAAACCTTTAAAAAACTATTATTGCAATCTGAATCGGAACAATTACATTCTTACTGTTCACATTGATGCAATACTATGAGCAAGTAACTAACAGCTTAATAACTACTTTGTGAACTAACAATCATTGGTCAATAACAAACTAACTAACTGACTCCTTGTTCTGCTTCTTATTATGTAATAGCAACAACCTTTTGTGTATATTTTAGTTGTTTATCCGAGATCATTGCTGTTCTTAATGTGCAAAATACTACTTGTAATTCTTTCTTCAGACTTTTTCCTGAGATAATTGCTAGTATATTATCCGATTCATTAAGAAGGGAGAGAGTTTTGTCTCTCTGTGATGCTTCGGATATTCTTCGAGATGCATTTTCTCAAACAGAAGCTCACATGAATCACTATTACGAGGTATTATGTCCTCCACTCCACTCTGATCTTTTTTAACGAATCCCCAGGACATATGCATGATTTGTTTTGTTCTAAATTTTATATTTATGGTTATTAATCCATGTATAGACAGGGTAAAGTTTTTTTTACTATTATACAATCACAAATTTGTTTTCTTTTATTATAACTACCTTAAAGGTAGAATCAATGGTTATGTTTTATTGGTTGATAGTGTAAAAATTTTTACTCTGACAATATATGCTACTAAATATGTGTACTTTATTAACAAACTCTTTGCAGGGATGTACAGCGACAGTGCTTCTGGTGTGGACTGATGGTAATGATAATTTCTTTGCACAATGTGCTAATGTTGGGGACTCCACCTGTATTATGAGGTTTGTTTATCTAACCAGATGGAATGCTTTTGGATGAGTTGTTTATATTTTGAATTGATCAAGGGTAGGAAAATCCTGACATTATTAGTTGTGGAACTTTTGAAGTGGGTAGCAGATCTGCAGTTTTGTCTATTAATAATTTTTCACATCATTTTGGGTATTAAGTTGTATGCAACAGTTCAGAACTAATAGATGCCTTATTCATATCTGAGTGACTAAATTGTTTTTAGCTATGGATTTTAAATTTGCTACATTTGATTTTGTTGGCTTAAATTCATAATGAATTAATTTTTGCCAGTTTGAACGGCAAGCAAATCAAGATGACGGAAGATCATAAGATAGCGAATTATTCTGAAAGACTCAGAATCGAAGAGACAGGTGAACCATTAAAAGAAGGGGAAACACGTCTATATGGTATGATGGGAAAAAAATCATTGAAACAGATAAAACTTCATTTTCCCGGGTTACAATATTGACTTGGCAATTGCTGATTCCGGTTCTTACTTGATGCAGGTATAAATCTGGCAAGAATGCTTGGGGACAAATTCCTGAAACAGCAGGATTCCCGGTTCAGCTCAGAACCGTACATAAGTGAAGTTGTGCACATTGATCAAGCAAGCAAGGCTTTTGCTATTTTAGCTAGGTGATTTTGCTTCTGATGCATACTTTTCTAAATTTCTATAGCAAAATGTATCCTGTGAATGTCAAGGTTCCACAATCTTTCAGTAATGTTCCTTCAGAAGGAAAAGGTTCTTCTAAAGTGAACAGGTAATGGTGATTCAACTTAGAACTATTGGTGGGTTAACATCACAATAGACTGTAAATTGCATGGATGGATACACTATTACTTGGGCACTTTTGGTGGAGCTTTTTCCTTCTAGAAATAGTTAATTAAGTAAATGACTGTCTCTATTTGTCAAAATCCAACCATGGTGTTTTTTTTTTTTTAAAACAGTTCTGTCACCAGTTTTTAGGTGTTGACCATTCACATTTTTCTTTTGACCATGTTGGAAGTATAACTTTGGCATCTGCAAAATTTTCAGTGATGGACTGTGGGATGTCATCAGCGTGAAGAAGGCAATTCAGCTTGTGTTGCAGGTTTATAGAAAAGAGCTTTTGTTTCTTGTTGTAGTATATTTCCTTTATCTTTATCCTTTCAATTTGCTCAGACAGTTTGTTTTCTCACTTCACAGATGAGGGAGCGATGCTATTCAGAGAGAGAGAATACAGCAGAAAAGATTGCAAGTTTGTTGTTGAATGAGGCTAAAACACTCAGAACAAAGGATAACACCTCTGTAATTTTCTTAGATTTTGATACCTTCAACAAATTCTCATGTAAAGTTGAATCCTAGTATGAATTAGTAATAGTGTTACAGGAATATTATTAATACATGTTTTTGTTCCCTCTCGCACTTTCCTTTCTTTGTTCTTCTCTGGCTCAACTCATGGAATTGGATAAAATGAAAAATAAAACGCAATGCTAAATGCGTTTAGGAATGCTAATCCCACTTACACTATGTGGGTTGATTTTGACCATTGCTTCCAACAGTCACAGACACCATTGCATTAATACTACTGAATATATATATATATATATATATATATATATATATATATAGAGAGAGAGAGAGAGAGAGAGAGAGAGAGATAGATAGATTAATTTTGAGGCCGTAATCGTATTAAAAAGGAAAATGTAAATTCAATAGAGAATATTCAACTTCTTCTTTTTTCTAAATATAATTACTTAAATTTCGTTTTAACTTTTGCACATATTATATCAAATCAAAGAAACTTTAATGCATTTCTATTTTTAATTATATTTTCTTTCAAAAATATTAAATTAAAAAAATAATTCAGTTTTTTAAAATGTCTTATTTTTTTTATTTACTTAAAAAATACATCTATAATGTAAAAGAGAGATAATATAATGTTTTTAACATAAAAGAAAAGTAATGTAAATTTTTAAAATACTTGGATGGTAATGTAATTTAATAAAATCTCTGAGATATTAGTGTAGTTGATTCTATTTAGTTTAATCAAAATTATATATAATAATAATAATTTTTAACTTATTTTAATAAAAAAATTAAGTATTAAATAAAACACTTTTTCATAAATTATATATAATAAATTTATGATTAATTTTACATTTAAATATTTTTTTTATATTGTATGAGGATATAAATATGCCCTATTTTAATTATCATATTGTATTTCTTATAAAAAAAATTTCTTCTATCTTTTTTATCGCAAGGGTAATATAGAGAATCAATCATATAAATATAAATATTTAAAAAATAAATAATTTTAATAATATCTTTCTAAATTTATTTACTCAATTAATCATTCATATTTATCGTTTATATATAAAATTTAATAAAGAGAAATAGTTTTGTAGATATATAATATAATTATTTATTTCTCTTTTTTCATTTACTTTTTTTACTCTTTGATTAACTTCTTAATATTTTTTTCTCTATCTTCCATTAGTGTTTATTTTCCTTTCTGTCTTTGCCTCTCTTTTATTTTTTTAATTTTTTTACTCTATCTAATTCTTCAATTAAAAATATTATATAAAAATTTGATAAAATGATTTTTTTTATTTATAAAAAATAAATACATTTAAAATTTGATAAAATGAATTTTTTTATTATTTATAAAAAATAAATACATTTAAATGATCCAAAAATATTATGATTTAATATATTATATTTAAAAAATATATGATATGATAAATTTGAGATATTATAAATATTATTATGTTATAATTATTAAGAAAAAATATTTAATATTTATTTTAAAGAAATTTGTTTAATAAATTCTTTTTTAAAATTACTTAATTTAACTGATTATCCTAATTTATTCTAATTATAACTAAATTAAATTACTAAGGAAAAAGTATATTTAATAAATAAATATTTATGTTTTTTAAATTAAATAAATAAATATTTATTATGATAAAATATTTTAAAATTAATCACTTATGTTATCGTAAATAAAATTATTTATTGTGATAATAAATAAAATTATTTATTACCATTATTATTTTTAGTAATGATTTATTTTAATATATTTTTATTAAATTTTAGTATAATAGTTTAATTAGAAAATAGATAAGAGATAAAAAAGAAAAATAATAAAGATGAGATATAAAGTAGAAAAAAAATAATTAAAAAAAACGAGGAGAAAAAAATTACATATTAAAAGATAGACCCAAATAAATAAATTAAATTAATATTTTATTTAAATAATATTATTTATATGATATATTCTAATTTGAATCTTCATGTAGTATATATTTTATTTTTGCATTTATCTGCTCAAGTTTTTTTTAAATTAAGCTTTTTTCTCATTATTTTGAATTTTTCTATATTACTCATTATTATTTTTAACATTAATTTGATGCCATTATTTTCAAAGCGTGGTTAAATTATGTACGAAAAAATGTAATATAATATTAATTGTACGACATTAATTGACGTGACACTGACGTATCATATCTAATCCTGATATGACATGTAAATTTAGGTTAATCCGACAAAGATGTGTCAACCACGTTGGACATTCAGTTATGAGAAAATTAATGAGACCAAATTAATATTAAAAATAATAGTAAGATAAAATTAAAAAATTAAAATTAATGATTTTTCTCTTTATTGAATTGAATAAATTAAAATAGTACTTATCTTAGTTTTGATAATAACATTATGTATTCAAGTAAGAAAAAATTGCGTACTCACTCAAAATGTTAATCTATATTTAATAAGAGAAAAATGATAGGTATATAATGTGATAAGAAGAAAGATATATTGGCGAAAGGAAATAAGGGAAAGTTAGGAATATGGATGAGATAGAGCGGCGAGGAGAGAGGGAGAGATTAGATAAAATATTAGTATTATTGGGGATTGGGTAGTTAATAAATTATTAATTAAAAGGAAAGGCGAAGACACTCCCGCCAGAGAGTGGAAGGCGATGGAGCAAGCGGTGTCACTGATTGGTGCCCTCAACCTCGTCTCCCGGAACCTCCCTCTCCCCCCCGACCTCTTCCACACCGTTTCTTCAATCTATCACCGATCTGTCCCTCTCCATTCATCCGTACTCTTCTCCTCTTCTCCTTCACTCCTTCACTCCTTCTTTCTTCCTCGCAACAACTCTTCTCTTACTCTTCTCTTCTTCTTCTCTTCTTTTTCTCTTACGCAGCCACATGAAGCGAATTCCTCACCGGAACAACATTTGTTGGCCGACCTTCAAGATGCGCTGTTGGACCAACGTCCTCACTGCTCCTCCACTTCCAAATTGAACAAAACTATCCAAAGCCGTTATCAGAGTCTGATTCACCACCGCCTATCCCAACTCCAAGGTTCGCACTCTCACTACTAATCTGTTGCGCGATGTTGTTATGATGCTTCTCCGTTTGCCTTTATTCATTCAAACTGGTTCCACATATTTCTGAACATGCTGCGTCTCAGTATGGTTTAATTGAACTGGATCTAAATAAGTGTCGTTGATGTAGTATTGAGGTGATTACAAGGCATTAAGCGCGTAGTATTGTAGGAACTAACTTATCGTACTAACTAACTACCAACAATTACTAACTAATCTCCAATTAACTATATCTAATGATATATTACCGTTTTTCAACCAGAATTGCCTTCAAGCATGGGAGAGGACTTACAGACAAGGTGCTTGCTTGAGCTTTATGGATTAAAGGTTAAATCGATTCTTAAATCTTTCCTCCATTATTAGTTGTTGTCTAGCTTTGGCAAATTGGTTATCCAATCAGTAATATTCAGCTTGTCGTAGGTAAATTAAGTAGGTCTTGTTCATTTGTTAAGAGCTATTTCCTTTGAGGAAATTATTATTATTTATATATATACACTTGTATTAAGTGGAACCAATGAATAACGAGAATTATGTCCTTCTTGGCAACGGCAGTTAGCTGAGTTGCAGAGGATGGTACGGACAGATGTGAGTTCTGAATACTGGCTCAATGTTAAATGTGCATATCCTGAAAGGCAATTGTTTGATTGGAGCATGATGCGGTTACGTCGTCCGCTGTATGGTGTTGGAGATCCATTTGCCATGGATGCTGACGATCAAATAAGGAAGAAACGGGATGCTCAGGTGATTTTTCATTTTACTTGTTGATATCTCCTCCACCGTTGGTTTAAATTCATTTTTCCTATCAGGGATATTATAAGGTATGGTTTATATTTGTTGATGATCAGGCTGAAATTTATTATTGTTGATCTCATACTCAAATGCAGAGACTATCAAGATTGGAAGAGCAGGCAAAAACCCATATGGAGACTAGAAAAAGAAGATTTTTTGCAGAAATACTGAATACTGTCCGTGAGTTCCAATTACAAATTCAAGCTTCTTTGAAGCGGAGAAAACAGAGGAATGATGGTGTCCAGGTACACTACTTCACCGCCTGTCTTTCAGTTGTTTCAAAATAATGCAATATGTATATTTATATGGGAAACATACATGTAAAAATTAGGCCAATAGGATTAAAAGTACTTGTGAACTATGCTTACAATGATTGCATGTATTGACAAAAAACATGTTTGGAGTGTGTATGTATGTACTTTTGATAATATAGGATATACAGGAAAAACAACTTTGTTTGAATACGTTGAAGAATGTTTGAACTTGGTCATGTCTTTTCTGCTTCTATCTAGTGTCATTTATATGAGATTTTAGATTTCATTTTTTTCTCTTCTTTACGGGTTGAAAGATCGCTTATCATTGCCTGAAATATGGATAATGAATTCTCAAATAATATGGCAGGCATGGCATGGAAGGCAAAGACAACGTGCAACACGGGCAGAGAAATTGAGATTCCAAGCCTTAAAGTCTGATGATCAAGAAGCTTACATGAGAATGGTAAAAGAGAGTAAGAACGAAAGATTGACTTTACTTCTTGAAGAAACAAATAAACTACTCGTAAATTTGGGAGCAGCTGTTCAACGTCAAAAGGATTCGAAACAATCAGATGGTATTGAACCATTGGAAGATTTAGAAACTGATTTACTTGAGTCAGATAATGGAATTTCTAAGGAATCACCTCTAGAGGAAGATGTGGATTTGATAGATTCTGACCATAATGGTGATGATAATAGTGATTTACTTGAAGGTCAGCGGCAATACAATTCTGCCATTCATTCAATTCAAGAAAAGGTAGGTATCTGTGCCTGTTTGAGCTTTATTGTGATCCTGCCGGTTTTCATTCAAAATTCAAGAAAATTATAGTACAATGGAATACTAACTAGCATAATTATTTACAGGTAACTGAGCAACCATCTATTCTTCAAGGTGGAGAATTAAGACCATACCAGCTAGAAGGCCT